TGACTCCTGCTGACTCGTCCTGCCAGCCGTATTGGTCTTGTCAGGTGACCGGCTCCCCTGGTCCATACGTTTATCCGGTGCCCCGCCTTTCTGCGTCGGCCACCTTCTGAGGCCATGTTCGTAACAATTTATTAAAAATCCCGTAATCTTTTTTTAAACCTTTTAATTACGTAATAATTAATTAATAACCACCTTTTAATCGGCCACCTCGTTTAATACCACCTCGTTTGACAGGACCGGCCTACGGTTAACTACGCGTTCCGGGTGACGATAGTGTAATTCGCGACCACCCCATTCGAACTCGCCGATGTAAGTTCAATGCGCCAGACTGCCAGTGCCACCTACTTCCGCCGTTGAAACCCTTTATAAGCTTAACTGTTTACGCACTCGAACGCACATTACAGCCACAGTCGCGCTGTAGCGTTACAAAATGTAACGGTCCTATGGATTAGTATCGGCGACGCCGTGGCTAACTCCAACTACTTCTCCAGGCTCGACCCGTCTCAGCGCCTGCGACGGGCTGTCCATGCGAACGACTCCCTCCTTGTACAGCGCATCCTCAAATCCCACCCGAAACTCATCCACAATCCCGACACGTCGCCCAACGGCCTCTCTAACTCGAACCTGCACCTTGCTGCCAGCCTGGGCCACCTTGATATCTGCCGGGTGCTGGTCGCGAACGGACACGAGGATCCTACGCCTGCCCTCAACGAAAACCACCAGACGGCCCTCATGCTGGCTGCTGCGGCGGGCCACACAGAGGTGGTGCATTTCCTCTCCGAGACCAACCCATCCTCCATTCCTCGCCGCGATATCCGGGGACGCGATGCCGTTATGGAAGCCAGCCTCGGCGGCCACGACACGGTACTTCAGATCCTGCTCACTTTTGCCCCCAACGGAGCAGCTGCGGCCGTCCAGGCGTCGGACGTGGACGGCAATACGTCGCTCCACTTTGCCAGCAGCAACGGGAACCTGCTCGTACTCCGAACCCTCCTGGCCGCCGGCGCCGATGCTGAGAAGAGGAACATCTGGAGCTGGAAGGCTGTCGCCTATAGTGCTACTGTGCAGGCCGAAGTGTACCTGAAGAACCTGGTAGTCGATATTGAGAAGAGGAGGAGAGCCAAGAGCGACGCCGATGACACAACCAGAAAGATTGCCGCTGTCCGCATGGTTGATCCAGATGCTGCTGCGGGAGACTGAGAACCTATGCGGCATGCCTGTGAACCTGCCTATCACCTGACGGACCATCCCAGCAATCATACGCCAAAGGGCTGTCGGCTATTATGAATCAATGGCTGTGAGAATGAATAGCTGTGAGCAGAGCAATGACATGTTTGCTTGGTCCTCGCTGAATGCGTTCAATTGCAGATCGCACCAGGCCGACAGCGCGCCATGTAGACACCTGTCACATGACAAGAGCGTTAATCTAACCACATGATCACATGGACCAGCTCCTTGTCATCTAGATCGAGGTCAGAAGCTCGCTTGCACCACAAGATTCAGATCCACCCAATTCCCCTTGGCCAGGTGATTGAGCCACTGGAGTGGGAATCAAGTCATTGAAATTCCGCATTTCGCTCAATGACCTAGAGGCAGGGTCATTAGGTGGACTTGCCTCATAGCATTCACCACTTTCGTCTCGGTATATTCACCAGTCTTGTCTCAAAGTCTAGACGGTTGTGGCCTGGTTGTCCAGACTCTGCTCTTCCTTGAGTCACCTGGTCAAGGGTATATTGAGGCGATTACGTTGCGGGTGGTTGTCTTGTAAGAGCATGTCGGTATTGCATTAAGGACACTACCGGGGTTTCACAGTGTGCCATCCCCGCCCAGGTCTTTGTAATCGTGGATCTGTAGCAAACTTCGTGTATGAGCGAACATTCAAGACCAGGGATCTATTGAAATCAGGTTCCTAGCATGTGTTGGAAACGCATGTATCCTATGTCTCCAGAATTGGTGTCTTTGACATTGTACACGAACCATACAGGTGAATTATTAGCTATTGTATGCGTTTGAAATTCGTGGGATGGCCCTCGGACTCGAAATAAACTCTCTCAAGGGGTACAATGGATCACTGTTGGACTACTCGTCCGATGTTTCCAAGAGCGGTGGAGAATCATCATGCAATCCCGTATGATTCATACACCTCTCGACGCCTAGGCCCAGGGTTGCCGTCGATTCACCTATCGCGAGAGGAACCCTGATAGCCGACAGTACTACTTAAGAAACGTCTCGCTTCCACCAGAATCTGGCTGGCCTTCTCTTCCGCTTACACTTCGTTATGAGAAGCAACATTGTGATCGAGAACTCGTTCTCTTCGCGACTACCAAGATCTGGATCTCAACAATCATAACGTTTTAGTTGCAGTGTCTGTCTCCAGATCCTCTACTGCCGTTGCTTTCTGCTTTAGTTGAGTCAACTCCGTCACTTCACGCGCATTGTCTGCCTGCTCCACCGTCAACTCCCTTCACACTCCTCGAGCGGTCACTGGTTGGTATTCCTCTCAACATCTGTGTATGCCAGTCTGCTCTTTTATGCGTCTTGTTGGCCACGGCTTGATCGACATTGCCCTCCGTGTTCATTTGGTGCGCAACGGCCACACTCTTTCATCGTTCAATAAGATATAGTTGCTAATCGAGCCATACGGAGCCATACAGAGCTGTCGAATTCGGTTGAGCCCAGCAAACCGAATATACCCATCAGACTCTCACAGCGCAGTCTGCGGATTTGTCCATCTTACTCAAGGTATCTTCTCGCTTGCTCCTGGTCTGCAGCTAGTCTTGGCTAGCTCAGGCATTCATCACCCTGGATTCCCACCAGCTCGAGGACGTACAGCTGCCCTTTACGGCTGTCAAGTGCGTCATTGGGCAGTACCTTGAGGTTTTCCACGATTCCTCTTGGGCTTGTTTGGTTGTCGGCTCTTTCTACGACAACCAGGACGACGAGCTCTGGCACATCGAGGTGTTCATCAGTTGGAAGGCCGGAGCTACTCAGTCAGAGACTGATTCGGAGTTTGGTCAACAGCGACTAATTCACACAACTCCTCGTAAGTGACTCAGTGACTCCTGCCCAGGGTTGCATCTATATAAGCACTTAACCCTCTCACTTTTCGCCGCTGCCCTCTTTTATTTCCACTTCCGCCATTCATTGCTGCCGAAAGTAGATCTCCCTGGGAATCTTACTTACCATCGACAGACTCTTTTGGCGACCCTGTCATCGGCCATCAGTTCTTGCACCAGTCGCCCTTTGCATTCCCGGTCCTTTCGCGTGGAACCCCTTTCTTCCCAGCACGTGCCTCCTACTCGCCCGGAATGTCAAACATCGGCCACGGTTGGAACCCTACCACCGGCTGGGACACCGGCCACCTGCCTCCCGGTACCGGCCACGCAACGGGTCCAGCGGGATATTCGTTGCCTTCTCAGCCGTCTTTTGTCTCAGGTGGTCTCCCGGATATGACCTATGCTAGCCCGGGCGGTTCGTACCATTTCACAGCTCATTTGCCTGGCCCCCCTGGCTCCATCGGCCCCGTCTACACCATGCCGCAGAACGGCTACCAGCACCCGGTTCCGGTCATCTCTGATCAGCCTGGTGGTCCTCGTTGGCCGATGGCCCACCCTGTGGTCAGCCCCGAGTGTCCTGCCATCAACCTTCAGAACTCGACTGGTGGTGTGGGCTGCGAGCCGGGATACAACTACTACTTCCCAGCCGACCACACCAAAGTCCATGTTATCAAGTCGCGTGAGCCACCCTGGCGCCTCGCTGCAGGCATGGACCTCCAGTTTGTCGCCTTCCATGTGCCTTGCAACACCACTCTAGGCGACCTCATGAAAGGTTTCGGTGCCACGAACTCGGTGGCTAAGAAGAACAAGATCACGGAAGTGACTGAGGGTGGCAACAATCGCTGGTACAAGGGTGTTACGTTTTGCGCCGACGATGCAGACGATATGAAGAAGACGCTCAAGGATTTGGGATGGGACAAGTCGCGTACCGGCCGGCATGGGGAAAGGCCTGTTGTTTGGTTATGGGTTACCAAAGACTAGGGCGCTAGAGAACCTGACGCAATCTCCACTCCTTTTTTTTTTGGGGGGG